AGAGATAACGAAAATATGGGATATTACTTTTATTTTTTTATTAATTTTTTAGTAATCAATAATTACGCTTAAATCACAATTAAATTGTAATTGAATTGCGTCAGATTTATAAGGAAAAGCTCTCTTAATGTTTATTTCTTTATTTATAATATTCAAACCCGAAATCTCTAATTAAAAAAAATCGAGTCTTTTCTACTCAAACTAATACATCTTTGATAGAATATTACTTTTATTATTAAACAGATTGGTATATATAATAATATAGATTTAAAAATTAAAATAAATTAATTTTTAAATAATATAAAATAATTTTTAAATATTTTAAATAAACCTGATTTATGTCATACATTATTGATTTTAAATTTTAGTTTTGAAATTTTTTATCTCTTTATTATTAGAGTTTATCTAAACTTTACCCTACAAATTAATAATGTAATTATTACATTTTTTTACATTAATTATTATTAAAAAATATAAAAATTGTTATTAATTTCATCAGTAATACCACATAAATCATTTTAATTAGATAATTATTTAAATAAAAATTAATTTTTATTTTTTTAATAATAATTAATGAGAAAATGTGTAATACTCACATCCTCATTATTATTTATTAAAAGAATTTTTTAAATTTATATACTTAAAATAAAAATTAACAAGCATTAATTAGAGTATTTAAGGCTTTAATTAAATACCTCCATTAAATACAAAATTTGTTTTAATTAAATTCTAGTATCATTTTTGTTATTGACCCACATACCCTTATTAATTAAAACTACAAACTCTTGAAAACCTTCTCTAACCTCCGTTTCGGCTCTCCCTTCCTTCCTCCTTCCCTCCCTCCTCCCTCCCTTTTTTTACGATTTTGCTCCACAACATCAGATCAATCTCCGGCACCAAGCCATAGAAAAAAAATTTAGCATAAAATATAAGGGAAAATGTAAAGTCTCTAAATAGAAATGATGACTTTGACTATAGGGTGGTTCTTGAGTGTGATTGTTAATTCTTTATTGAGATCGAAGGAATTAATTTATGGGGTTTCCTTAAAATTTTCCTGATTTATACTGAATGATACAGAGGCAAAAATTATGGCTTAGAATATCGGGATGTAGAAACACAATCTTATTTTGAAAGTTGAAGCTAGAACACAAAAAGCATATTAATGAAATATCCAGCTAAGATGTAAGAGAGAATCATTATTTACAATTCTTTTATTTTATTTATTAGAGTCGAAAGAGTTTAGTTTTATTTAAATAAAATTTTAAATTTAAATCTTAAAAATAAAGAGATAAGTATCAGAAAAAATTTCTTATTTATGGAGTTCGATAATAAAAGTACAGTGTGAGTTTTGAATATTAAAAAATTAATAATAAAAATATCAAGACGAGGGAAGGGAGAAATCTATCACGTTCAAAAACAATCAACTGCACCGGTCGGAAATGAAGGAAAAAGGAGAAAAACAAAAGAAGGGGAAAACATTCATATGGTAACTATTGCTTTTCTTTCTCACGATAAACATCCTATTTGGGTTTTGATCGCTATTTCATGCTAGCTCAACCCCATTCTTGTTATTTAGTACTCCCAATTCATATGCTCTATTTTTTTTTTTCTTTTTTTGCCAGTCATTTAATTGTCCTACTTTGACCAACCATTTCTACGTAGACTTCATTAAATAGTTTCATTTTATTTTTTTTAAAAAATTAATTACTATTTATATACTATATAAAATTATCATGTAAAATGTATGCATAATCAATCTAAAACAACTAAATTGAAACCGAGGCAATAAGAAATTTTCCCTATGATGAGATGGACAATTGCATCCCCAAATTATTGCTCAGGTTCTAGAATCAATCGAAGTGAAGAAACCAAAAGGAAAAGAAACTTGTTAAGTATCAAGAAATTGGCGCATTTGGTAAGATCTCTGGGTCATCTTCACCAAATTGATAGCGCTCATAGACTTCCAATAATTGTTCTCTACATGGTACAACAGCCCCAAGCTTAATGCACGCCAGGAAAGCACCTGAAAGTTTCCTATGAAGGCTGTATGCCTCATCAGGTGGTGGGGTGAGCCTGTGCCTCAACATTGTCGCTCCAAGGTTTGAAATGCTTTGAGTAATGTTGGCAGTGCGGAAGTCATAGCCACCAGGCTTTGAGAATGGCAATCCCACAACCAAACCAGCTTGAACATGGGCATCGATCATTATCTCTGATTCCATTCCTGTTAGAAACCCAAGTCTTTTTGACATCTCAATAACTGCATCTCGATCAGCGTTTGCACAAGCAACAACCTAAATCATGAGGAATCCCTTAGTACATTTACTCCCAAGAATATAAAAATCTAAACTCATATGTTTAAAAGCAAACTAAGGCAGCGGAGAGAGAAAGAGACAGAGAGAGACAGAATTGCTGGTTTTAGGCTTCTTCTTAGTTCAATTAGAAACATGTAACCAGTTATCACTTCTCAGCCTAAATTTCAATATGTTATTAGATGTACCCATTCCAGCAAATATCAATAGTAGAGGAGCCCTTCGGAAAGCACAATCTATCATGAAGACCAGTTGGCATCACCATATTTATCAATTTCCTGCAATGCTGCTTAAAATCATGCAACTAAGGAACACCCAAGCCCATGTAAAGGAAGGGAACTAACCATTCTTAAGTAGTCATTAACAAATCGTTTGGGGTATTCCCGAGCTGCCCCAAAGTCAATGAGATTCATTGTTGTTGTAGCTTCATCGTATAAGAAATTACTCCAATTAGGGTCAGTCTGCACTAGAACAAACCCAGTGAAGAAAGGAATACTGTTAGATCCCTTGAAGGGGGCTCAAGTAAAGACCAGCTACTCTCCAAAATGAAATTCGAGGAATACTTGGAGAAGTATGTACCAAAAGCAAGTTACAATATTACATTTTTAAAAGGTACCAAAAAAAAAAAAAAGAAGAAGAATAAAGAGAATGCCTGCATGAAGCGGAAGACAAAAAGCTCCATTACAGTGAGTTCCAGCAACTTCCTCCCAACAAAATTACGAGTGTCCTGGTCCAGTAATGCAACCTTATCAATTGGAATTCCTGCAGCAATAAAATAATATTTTCAGGTATAAAGACAAATAACGGTAAAGTTCCCAGTGCTACTAACAAAATATGCAGATTCTACAGGCATTGACTTAAAAAGAAGAAGAAGAAGAAGAAGAAGAAGAAGAAGAAGAAGAAGAAGAAGACATATGAGACATCTATTTAAATTAAACAGAGAAACTTAGGTTATTTCAATCACTAACTGAAACAAAAAGATGACATGATTAAAGATATTGCATGATACCAGAAACAAGTTCTGTGGTTAAAACTCTTTTGCTTGAAAGATCATCCACAACTAGTGGAACATAAAATCCTTCTGCATTTGCATTGGACAGCAGATCTCGGAACTGTTTCTGATTGGCTGCTTCCAACTCATAGTCACATTCACGAGACAATTCTTTTTCTGCCACCTGTGAAGAATTTTCAGAGCTGACATGAGACTACAATTTCATCAGTCAAAACAGGTACTTCTTCAGCTATTATTATTATGAGCCCTTGAAGACACCATTCATTTTTTAATTTTGCATCCAGTAGCATCTACAAAAGGGACCTAGCGCCCTGTTTTTGGGGTGAGAAAGGTCAGAAAATATGTGGAGGGAAAAAAAAGGCATGGCTACTGAGAATTCAGCCATATGTCTGCATCATCAACACCAAAAGAGCTTTGAGGAGAAGATCATTTGATTGGACAATTTAACAAATGAAATGTTGATCAAGTCGCAATCAACTATATGTCTGCATCATCAACACCAAATTTAAAGACTGTCTAATAACTTATATTGATAAAACAAACACATCTACACACATATAAGAATTCAGCATGCATGAACAAAAAGATACCTTCATAGCTCTGTCAAGATAAAGTCCTTCTGGAATTAGATTTGTGTAATCCAAAAGAAGTTTCACATTCTGAATGTCACTTTCTATGCTATCTGCCACACCAGGGTACTGAATTTTCATTGCAACATGCATTCCATCCTTTGTGACAGCTCGGTGAACCTGGAATAACTCTAAAACCATAAAGGCAGGATAACTAATGGTTTAAATGACAGAGTAGGTAACAGAAACCAGACAAGAGTAGTATTTTCAAAATATGGCCTCACTCAGGGAACATTTCATGTTATAGATGGAAGCAGGCTAATACTGGAAGTACATAAACTTGGTAAGTGTTTGAATATAAATAAAAAGGAAAGGAGAAAATCAAAAACCTTAATCCTTTCCTTTAGATATCTAAAATGGAAAACAACACCATCTAGGACCAACTGAAGCAGGGTATATAGAAAAATTGCTGGGCAGAAAATGATCAAGAAAGAACGCTACTCCATGAAAAGGAATGAAACAGAAGAAGTTCAGCTTTATAGAATATTCATTATGATCATTTAAAATTAATTCTAGAAAAAATAATTTACGTGATAGTTATGTTCAAATATTAAGGCAAATCCCAACACATTGTTTAGTGTAGCACAAACTTACTAAACAGTTAAAAGAAAGGCATACAAATCAAAGAATGAAGTCAGAAGTCAATTGTCTTAGCTTACCTGGCCTATGCTTGCAGCGGCCATGGGTTCATAATCAAAGCTAGACAACTTTGATGGCCAATCATGACCTAGTTCAGCCTCCAAAACTTGATTAAGTTGTTTCCTTGGCATCACATCTGCACCTTGACGCACAATATCTAAAGCAGCCAAGATCTATACAAAATAAAACCAAGATGCTTGTGTTATGTAGGCAAAGTAGCAGCCAGTCTCAATAATCAACTACCTCTGTCACTATCAAATTACCATACCGGAGCAGGGACAAGAGATTCATCTTGGATGCTCAACATCTGCCCTATCTTAAGTGCTGCTCCACGCATTTTACATAGTGCAAAGGCCAATCGTTCTGCATTCTCATCAGATAAGAATGGGGAAACAGCAGATTGCTTATCATGTGATTTTGATGGACCAAATACAAGCCTCTTCGCAGACTCCTGAACAGTTCCCCATGCCAGCCCAGCTCCTAGAGCAGCAAAGCTTTAGATGTTAAAAACAATAGTTAGAAATAGAGCAGAACGCTAATATCCCAACAGTCAGAAATGCAAAGCATCCACCTTTAAGAAAAAAACAATCTTACCCCAATGCTCTTGAAAATGGGGTAGCTGGCACTTTAACTTCCCTGGGCTTCCGCCTTTTCCTGGTCACTACCGGTGGCACCGCCTCAGGTTCGCTACCACCACCATTGCCCCTATCCTCCGAATTGGGATGATTTTCTCTCACCAAACCATCTTTTTCGAAATTACCTGACAAACCAATCCTTCGATCAACATTCTCAACCCTCTCCTCCACTATTAATCCATCACCGCCATCACTCTCTTCATTATCAATGTCGCCACTAATTGGGAGCTGTACTTGACCTGGGCTCTGCAGCGGCGCAGCAGCTGCGGCAGTGGCGGAATCCAAATCCTTGCCAATGTTACCATCATCATTGAAGTAAACGACGGATTCTTTGGACCTAGGGCTCGAGAACTCGCGAACCTTTCCTTTAGTGAGGCCTGAAAAATCGGTGGCGGAGACTAGGACTTTCTTGAGAGAGGATGAGACTAGGGTTTGAAGATCACCCTTCCGGGCACTCTCGATCACTTCTGAGCTCTTGGCGATCTCCTTGCCGATGAGAGAAACGCCGTTGACGAGCCTCCGCAGGTGCTTCAACGAGCTCATTGCTCTTCCCTCCAATCTCGCGCGCTACTTTCCATGGTTTGTTTTGATTTGGGCAGTAACTCTCTGTAAACATGGGAAGAGAGAAGACGAAGAGAATTTGAGACGTAGGCTTATCGAAGTCCACATGTGAGATTTTGGGCCCAGGCCTCGGACCTCTATTATATTTTGAATTAGGGCCCATCTACTGCCTTCTTCTGTCAAAGTGGAAGGCCTAACACAGGCCCCAGTTCCTCATATCAAGTTTTTTTTTTTTTTTATCTTACCTTATAGCAGTTTTTTAAAATAGAGAAATAGAATTATTAACAATATATGCCCAAAAAAGAGAAAAAAATAAAAAAATATCTTCTAGAGATTATTTGGACTCTCAAAATTTTTTTTTGAGTTTTAACTTATATTTAAAAATTGAAATCTCAATTTAAAATTTAAAAATTCAATCAATTTCTAAATCTAAATATTAATATTTAATAAAATAAAATTTTTGAATTTTAAATTAAATTTTAATTAAATAAAACAAAATAATTTGATATTAGAATTCTAATTTTTTTTTAAAGTCAAAATCAATATACGTATTTCCCAATCTTCTATTAGTTAAAAAAAATATCTTCTAGAATATCATATACTATACCCCATAACATGCTTTGTCAATGATTTTAAATAATTTAATGGTAATTTATTTTTAATAAAAATAAAATATTTAAATTCAAATTATACGTATAGATAAATAAAAAAATAAAAAAATATTGCTTCTCTTTATAAATTTATAATAAAAAAAAGGAGAAAAACAAGGCATATATGGTGCTTTATATCATATATACTTCTGAAACGAATAAATCTACTCCCCACTGATGTGCATTTTTTGGATGCCAAGATTCCACACCAACTTTAACTACCATTCAACTAAAAAAATATTTTAATATCTATGTTTTGTTTTTTTTTTTTTTTCTTTTTTGACGGTAGGAATTAGGGGATGAAAAAAAAAATTACAATAATATTACAATTACAACTTAAATCTTTAACAAAAAGACCAATCATAATTAGGGCGCTTCTATCGTAGCTAAATGTAGCAAGCGCATATCAATATGTTGGTTTTGTTTTTTTTTTCTTTTTTCTTTTGAATAGCTTTACATTTAGGGGTGAAGATTCAAAACTCTTTTGAATTAAAAGATATACATTATAATTTAACTTTTTGAACAGCTTTACATTTAAAAATAAAGATTTAAACTTTAATTCTTGAACTAAAAAATACACTTTATAATTTGACTTTTTAAACAATTTTACATTTAAAACTAAAAATTCAAATTTCAACTCTTAAACTAAAAGATCCGTCCTATAATTTTACTTATAGTGATTGAGCTCGCAGGATGAAAGTTGCATTACGTTGTTTTAATATTTATGAGTTTATAAAGAGATGTCGTACAATGTGTACAATCAACTAGCATTCGATCATTGTACCACGTAGCACGTTTATTTTCCTTTTATTTTGGCCAAACTCAGGATTATGGATGGTAATGATTATAATAGATGTTATTCAAAATTCTTAAGGAGTTTTTCTGGAACATAAAATTCTTAAGGAGTTAACTCATTAATAAGTAAATATTATTTTGTACATTAGATTGGAAATTTAAATATTAAAATCAATATTTAGAAAAATTATTTTTTTTGTATTAACCCCTATATCTAAAAAATCACATAAGACCTTTAACTAATTTAGAGTTGAGTTGGATCGGACCCCATATAAGGGAAACTCTCTTAATATATATTTTTATATTCATAAGATTCGAACTTGAGATTTTACTTAAGGAGAGTCGAACTCTATTTACTCATATTAACAAGTTATAATTAATTTTTTTAAATATATTATATTGATGTAAAGATATACCTCTTTAAGATTATTTGAAAAATATTACTCTTAAAGTGCATAAAAACATATCTAGAGATACTTAATTGTAAATAATAATAATTATTATTATTGGTAGTATAGCAAATGTTTATTTAAAATATGTAAAAGAAGCCAGGGAAAGTCACAATTGTCTATTTCATGTCCTCACCAGATTAAGCACGTCTGATGGTCTGATTAAGCACGTCTGATGAAATAGTGTTTTGATATCAACTGAAATGAGATTCAAATTTTTAATTAATCCTTGGAGTTAAGATAATGCCACAAATTGACGAATTTGATACCTAATGCATGCAGTAAATCCACTCAGTCTTTGAGGTTGGTCCTACACCTAGAAAAAGAAATAGCTGGATGTGTGGCCAGAAAAGCGGAGATGCCTTTAAGAGTTCAGAATCATAAAAGATGGTAGGGAAAATCTCTATATGCTCACCACCTCAGCCATTTCATGTGTCACTGCGCACATTCTTCAGTTGGGGTGTGTATCACTCATTCATCCGTGCACTCTATATATAGACCCCATGAATCACTCTAGTTCGTGCATTACAACTTTTCCACTCATTTTACAGTTTTCAGGTATTGCTTTCATGCTGCAATATGACATTTTACGTTTTCTTTGTTCCATATGTATTTCTTTTATATACATAATGAAATATGCTCCATATTAGTAAAATTGGGTTTGTATCCCAAGACCTGATTTTTGACCTTGGTTGGAAGATTTAATTTTCCTTTTTCTGGATTTTATGTCTTGAATTTTCGAAAATTGAATTGTCTGAAACATTTTAACAGACATCTCTTGAAAGGTGTCTTTTGCTTGGAAAGACATATTCGGATGAACATGTTCTTTCAAAGGAAGCTCTTCACCCTTTACAAATTACTACCATCATTTTACTTAAAGATAGTGAGATTATGCCTCAGAACTTTTTATGTACTGTTTCTTAATTTCTAATGTATAGACGCCTTTTGCAGCTAGATTTTTGAAGATGGATGCTGCTGGGAGGACCACTGGAACAAAATATGAGTGCTTGCTCTTTGGTGTGTTATGCTGTTTAGACTGAAACCATTCTCTATCTTTTTTGGAAACTAAATTTGGGAATCATGTCATTTTGTTACTGATAGTCTGTGTATCCGGTTTGATTTTCAGACATGGATGATACCTTGTACCCCTTGAGCTCAGGTCTGAACTTGGCTTGCCGAAAGAATATACAAGGTATGTATGCATGAGTCTAAACGGAATCCAGCAGAAACATGGAGTTTTTATGGTTTGCATAACGATTATGACAATAATTTGATTGAGTTTGTTCTGAGTTTGCATGCAGACTACATGTTGCGGCACTTGAACATTGAAGAAAGCGAAGTACCAAGGATGTGCTTGGAATTATACAAGGAATATGGAACAACAATGGCCGGTTTAAAGGTAAAACAGAGTTGAATTTCTACAAAATTAACTTTTAGAATCTTAGTCTCTATTCACCTGAGAATCACATATAAAGATTCGTCGAATTTCAGGCACTTGGCTATGAATTTGACAATGATGAGTTTCATGCTTTTGTTCATGGAAGATTGCCCTATGACACCCTGAAGCCTGACCCTGTGTTGAGGAGCCTTCTCCTTTCCACGCTACAGAGGAAAATAGTAAGTTTGAAGGAGAAGTTTTGCTGAAAAACATTAGTACTCCCTGCGGAAAGTTTCTAAGGTTAACTTTGGTGTGTTTCAGATCTTCACTAATTCTGACAAGAAGCATGCGCTTGAAGTTCTCAACAGGTTGGGGTTGGAGGATTGTTTTGAGGGCATAATTTGCTTTGAAACTCTTAATCCTGCTCTTGAACCGGTAGAATTCATGGATGCATTAGATGATAATGCAGTTCTATCTGGGGATGAAGGAGGCCTTGATATCACTGACAGTAGTGCTGCTAATAGTGTCAGTTCCAAGCGGCGAGTCCTCTGCAAACCTGCCCTGGAAGCCATTGAAGCTGCAATTCGGATTGCCAATGTTGATCCCAAGAAAACAGTAAAGACCGAAACTTCTCTAAATTGTTTTTGATGTCTAAGAGTTCAATGATTAATGGATTCTCTAAATCTCTGTGTTCTTCAGATTTTCTTTGATGACAGTGCTCGAAACATAGCAAGCGGAAAGGCAGCAGGGCTTCACACCGTTATTGTAAAGTTCTAATTAATTTTGATGCTACTCTCAAGCAAAATCTAATTTACAATTCAGCAACATCTAACATGAGAGAATAATGATAACAGGTGGGGAGTTCGGTACTCATTCCGGGTGCAGATTATGCCCTGAGTTGCATTCACAATATGAAAGAAGCAATAGCTGAGATTTGGGAAGGTGAAGAAGGAGAGCAGCAGGAGCAAGTTATCCAATCAACCACTGTTGAGACAGTTGTCCTTGCGTAGATTCATTCCCATACCGGTTAAGCTTACTATAAAGACAACACAAAAGTTCACAAATCTCCACATCAATCTTACATGATACTGAATAGTGGATTGTGTACTCTATGTACTTAACCCCAAATTAATGGGATAAACTTTTTTCTAGCTCCCCACAGTTAGCAATTCTGCATGTTACGCGGGGCTATCTGGCCTGCTTCTCTCTTGAGATTCAAGTTGACGAACAGCATCCATTCCATCGAGGACATGTTTGAAAACTACATACCGATTGTCTGGCCAAGTAGTCTGTCATGCATTTAAGAAATTCAGAAGCGTGATAAGTAAGAAATCACATCTCAGTAGACAGCATTCAGATGAAGTCACACTCATTAACCATGGGAATCCAGTTCTGCAAGTAGATGCCCTAACAATTCAGTTATATTTTTGTGATAACCTTTATTATTAAAGCATACTTTTGAGTTGGCACACACCTTTCTCCAGCTTTTCATAGGAGCTCTAGAAAGTTGTATAACAGGAAAACTCGATGCTTGTCCCAATCTTGATGACAGTGTGCCTTTCTGTGGCAGCTCAAAGGCCCAGCGTGGGAGAAACGCGACCCTGAACTTGTCATATGAGTCCTATGCACATTGGAAGTGTCTTCCAAATAACTACCCTGCAGAAGAAACAATGCGTGAAATATCAAACAGGATGGAGATCAAGTACAATTCAAAACCTGATTCCACCTGTATCTTGAACAAATTAACAATGCAATGAATAATTATAGCCTCTCTGTTAAAATACTGTGCAAGTCAGGCCCGCAATTAACTAACATCAAGATACAAGCTACTTGGATGTCAAATTTTCAATAACCGAGTTCATAAAGCATTCAAATGTTGATAACTCATCATCTTATATATATTTATATATGGAATTAATGATATACAAAAATTGTAAGTAAAAATTATATAAATTAATTATATATATTATTACCCTTTTCTTTGTATAATACTATCACACTTTATGTATTATATATTATATAATATTAAATAAATAAATAAATATAATATTAGAGATAATATCATTATCCTTTTCTATATACAATATACTCCATGTTGTGATGTTGGTTTTTCCTTCTTTTTTTTTTTCTGTGCATGATGCGGTTTTATCCGATATTCAAAAATGAAAAATGAACAGGTTTTATCCTTTCTTGGGCCTGAGCCTGCAAAAGTCTGGACATTTTGATATTTCACAACAAGTCACAGTCACAGAACACGTCAAAACTGGAC